ACGCAAATTAAATAAAATATGAATATTGTTAATTCTACCCATACCGATTAGTATTGTTGGTTTTATATTACTTTGATAAGTATATAGATTATATAAACATAAGGATATATATGCATATATACATTTATATTCTATGTATTTTATTTCTATAACATTAAAAATCTATCATAATTGTATATATTATATCATTATATCATTATCATTATTATTTTATATATTTATAAATACATATATAGATACATGAGTTATATAAAACATAATGCTAATAATGCTTATACTATTTATAATTTTTAATTGTATATATTATCCTGGCAAATATATATAAAGCGTATAAATAATTAAATATGTATTCGTATATAATACATGCTATATTATATAGATTTAATTTTATATAAATATAGATTAATTATATACATACTGTTAATACTAATAATAGATATAATATTTTTGTCTTTGTTTACTGCTTTATGCTGCTCACTGCGTGCATAAAGCAGTTCTTCGATTCAGCCTAGGAATTGGGATAATTGGTCCCTTTTTCTTATCGTAATGAACAGTTTAGGGGGTACAGCGCTGGCATATTTCGTTGGCAGGTATCACAATACTGCCACCTACCATAGTGCTCGCTATGCATAGTCTTCTTCGGTAGACTTTTAGGCAAGCCGATCGCGACAATCGCCTTCAACCCCATGCCCATACTACTCGTAAAGTGTACGTATGGGCTATTGATCAGAGTATCCATGACACGCCGAGCGGCTGTAAAGGCCGTAGGAGAATTCCCGATAGTCATGGCAGCACAGTTTATTGCGTCAGGGAGGATTCGCAAGACTTGCCAATTCGACCTCGTCTCCCCGGCCGGGGAGTAAGCAGACTTTGCAGACGAGGAGACTGCAGCCCCGGGGCCTGCTGGCCACTTGCTCTGTTGACCGGTCGAGACTGCTGCCAAGTGTATCTTCTCCTCACATCTGCCTTCTCCTCCACCCGCCCAGCAAATGAAGCCCACTGGCGACAGCTACAGATAATCAATACGGTATATGATATAACAGGTCTGAAAACGAACCCATGCAAGCTTGCTTATAGCCCATACTTTATGCACATTAGCAAGTTAGGAGGTAGAGACGAGTCTTATCAAGATCACATCGTGCAAGTTGAGGAAATTGCAAAGTCCATTCATCTCGTGTCCGTTCCTAGGGCAACCGGCAACAGCCATAGCCCGGCGGAAAGTTAGCAGCTTTAACTGGGCCAACTTTTGGGCAAGAAAGCATTTTTACGTACTAACCAACACAAGCCTAAAGCATCTTTGTTCTTCGGCATAGCCACTGAACGCC